GGTTGAAATCACTCTCTACAACTAATTTTTGAACCGCTGTAAAACTGCTTACTTTCTAAAATATAACTTACTGGGTAAAGTCAATACAAAAATTACCATTAAAACTCACACTCTAATCCAGGTTAACATAAAAATGATCACGCACAATTCAAAGAGAGAGGAACACTTAACAGATCTTTTCTTTTTTTTTTCCCCCTAAATGGAAGTTCCCCATAAGAATATTTTTATTTACTTGAAAAAACAAAACACGAGTAGAACAAGCCAGAAGGAAATGAGAGCAGCTGGCTCTCTCTGAAATTACAGAAATAAGGAGAGCATGGGCTTTTAAACACTTCTATAAAGGTCAATAAGTAGTTGATTTTTTTCAGTTATAGTTTAATTCAACAAAATATTTCTTGAAAATTCTTTTGCAACACGATTTACCAACATACATTTTCCGTGACTCAGAAATATGGAAGCAAGTGCCCATTAATTTGGCAAATACCTGTAAAAACGGCATTACACAATTACCAGGATGTCCTCAGAAGGGTAAATGCTATTAGGCACAAACCTATTCTGTCTATTTAATTTGCTCAGATAAACAGTAGTACATAATGAGAACTTACTGCTCAGTAACATTAGGTGTGATCTTAAAAGTAAGAAAAAGTGGGTTTTAAGAAATATGCCCCAGGCTTATTTTAAACCCAACGTAAATTAAGATTTCCTAACAACTAGCCTATTTCAATCACCTGTAGGCCAGAGTGGATTAAGACTTATAATCAACCAATTAATACAGATGTTCTTTCACATTAGTCACTCATACTAAAATAAACCCTTTTGATTCAATCTCTCCTTCACTAAAATCTCAAAAAGCCCCTAAAGTGATCTCTACACACATATGAATATAACTACTATTACAATTTGCATTTAAGCTACATTTATGGAAGGTATGTTTCAGAATAGGTCTTTCATAAAATTTATAAACAGTCAACATAATATTGAAAGTCGCCAGATTAACTAAAATATCTGTAACATCAATAGATAAAACCAAAACAGCATTATAATACAAATTATTTTATCAGTTATAAAAATATAATGGAATAGCCAAAGAAACATCACAAGAAGTAATTTCAATAAAATCTGACCACACGCTAATCACACATTTCTATACTGGAGTCATTCCACACTAAATTGACACACCTGAATACACAATGTGTTTTACCTTGTGTTTTTTTTTTCCTTTTACTAATAATATAACCATAAAGAAGTAGAGGGTTTTAAAAAAAGGAAAAGATTATCATAAAGCTAAAAATACACAAAGAGCCAAAAGCAAATCTCCTTTAACATTCAGAAATCGTTTTATGAGTGAATATCAGAAACATTAAGGTTAAAAAAGACACTGAAATACTCACTGTCAGAACCTTTGGAAGGAGAGGAAAAAGGTAGGAAGTAAAGAAAGTATCCATGAAAAAGGGGGAAAATCAATAAAAATCTCTTCTTTATGCCTCCCTTCTCTGAGAAAACATTCAACATGATGTTAATAAGAAAAATGAAAAAGGGACAGAATTTGCTTCACTCATCCTGTGCTTGTACAGGTCTTCATTTGCATTATGTTAATAAAATTAGACACAGGTGCAATTAATAATGAGCTGTTAAAATCTACATAAATTTTCATAGCTTCATTAAATGGCAACCAACAGAGCCCTCAACTCCACCTAAGACTGAATTTACAAATTCATCTTGCATCATTCTTTCTCTCCCATAATCATACCCTTCAGAAAACGATCAACTTTTTAATACTAAAGTTTCAACATAATCCCAATAAAAGCTCTAATTCCACCTGAAACCATTTACTTCTTTGCCTCTTTTCAGCAGTTTCACCATTAATGCTCAAGTGAAACAATGCTGAAAATCAAATCATGCGGAAATCTGCCTTCATCAATGTTACACGTTTATGCTAAATTTACTGAATTTCAGAATTTAAAAAGCATATTAAGGTAGAATGGCTAGTTCGTTTTACCTAAAGAATGTATTTGAGTATCAATAAGGTTTCTCTTGTTTTACTATCAACGAACTTAAACCTTAAAAAAAAAAACTTTACTATGCTCAATCATGACACTCATAATTTTACAATTTAACGTAATAACTGGATGTTGTGCTATGTTGACACATCAGAAGGAATTGCCTTCCCTCCCAAAACAGAGTGTTGTAAAGTGTCTTTTTTCAAGCATACTGAGAAAAAGCAATTTTAGGTGACATCTTAAAAAGTCAAATTACAATTTTTGCTTTAAAAAAACTTAAATAGAATGCAAGTTTTTAGTGGATTTAATATTTCTGTATCTAAATTCAGAAAGTCAGTATTCAGTATAGTTGTCTCAACATGTTGATTTACCTGCTGATTACTCAAGGTCACTGGTCTTAATGTTTGGCTGGAACCAAAGTAACATATAGAGAAGAGAAAGCAACCAATTTTAGTTATATCAAGGCTATTGTTTGGAAACAACAGGCTAATTCAATGATGGTAAAAAAGAAACATTGTTTCAATTTATTTGGAAGAAGCTTTGTTCTGGGTAATCACAGTTCCTAATGTTAATCCCATAAGGTACAAAATTTTCAAACTTTCTCAAACTATCCTGTAAAGATATTATACCTTTTCATTAGGACACAAACTACTGATTATAATTCCAAATCACACATTGGCATAAAGTAATCAGCTCACTGGATATTAAAGAATCTTGAAAGAGCCACATCATCATTGCTTTGTCTACTATCATATGGCTGTTATGAGGCTGACACACTTTAAATGTTACAAACTACTAGAAAAAGTATTAAAATGATCTTTAATGATTTAAGGATAACTATATTCATCTAAGACTTATTCTCCAGATCCTAGATTCTATAGGGCTTAATGAAAGTTCACTGTGAATGGAAAATGATAAGTTCTTGTTCCATGCCTTTTTTATAGTAAGGAAAATGATAACATTACCATGCTGATTATCAGAACAAAAAGCATTAATAATCACTAAGCTTGTCCTAAGATATATGATTTTTGTTTGTACAATTACATGTTTTATAAATCAATGTAAGTTTCCTACAGAAAGCTTAGTCAGGGGGCTTCCCTGGTGGCGCAGTGGTTGAGAATCTGCCTGCCAATGCAGGGGACACAGGTTCGGGCCCTGGTCTGGGAAGATCCCACATGCCATGGAGCAACTGGGCCCGTGAGCCACAATTACTGAGCCTGCGCGTCTGGAGCCTGTGCTCCGCAACAACAGAGGCCGCGATAGTGAGAGGCCTGCGCACCGCGATGAAGAGTGACCCCCACTTGCCACAACTAGAGAAAGACCTCGCACAGAAACGAAGACCCAACACAGCCATAAATAAATAAATAAAAAAAGAAAGTTAGTCAAACCAACTGTACTTACTCTTTCAAGACAAACAAGCACATTCAATCATCAATTCCACTGCCAAAAATTTGAGATTGAAAAATTTAAAACACAGCATGTCTTTTAACGTTTAAACACAACAGCTTATGCGATAACATCTCAAATCTCCTTACTGAAAACATTTTAAACCTTCAATTCAGAATGATAGCAATAAAAAGTTGAAGTGTTCTTCTAAGTAAAAGGTAATTATTATTTTAATAATAGATGAGTAGGTAGTTTACGTTAAGACACACAAGAACCAAGGATTTTTTTTTTCTTTTGATAAGAAACATCTAAGCCTTTTAAAGGAACAGAACATAGCCTAAATCTAAGTCTAAATTTTTTCCCCAAACAAGCAAAGCTTCCTACTTAAAGAGGAAAGAAAAGAGACACCTCAGTATCAGAATATACCTTTAACAGAAAAAGCATTTTTAAAGAGAGTTTTAAATAAAATCTTCAATGACTAGTTAATGTGAACAGTGACTATCACGAATATTTAAGAACTTACAGGGCTTACATACAAAGAAATCACTGTGTCTACTATGCCCTTCCTCCTCCCTCAAAAAAACCCACTGATTAATCAATCTTGTGTCTCTACAATTACATTTTTATATTTTCCTTCACACCTAAAATGTGATATACATTTATCTGAACTGAGGGTGGGGGTGCAGGATAGAGAACTTAACCCCTAGGAAGATACACCTACATTTAGAACTTTCTCCTGGTAATTACATTTTAACAGACCTTTTTGAGGTCAAACGGAAATGTCAATATACTTATAAATGATGGAGAAAAAAGGAGACAGAGAAACAAATCAAACATAGCTGAGACTGAAGCTCAACAATGTTGGCCATCAGCTATATACTTGAGAACTTGTAAGAACATTTGAAAGTAAAATCAAGCACCGTGTTGCCACCAATTCCATTCTTAAAGAGACCAATCAGCAGACACAACTTATCTGCTTTAGGTCAGGAACTCTGTGGGCAAGTCCCACGTCTAATACTCTCGTCAGGTACACTGTGCACTGACTGCATTGCTTTAGCAATCTCAGAACTCAGATTCTTCAAGGTTCAGTCTGAAGAAAAGGGTTCATTGTTAGTACTTCTAATTTTTAACCCTTTAATCTCCTCAGGCTAACACTTCACAAATGTACAAATACAGCACAACGTTTGATTACGTGAAGTATTACGGGTGTTTTTCATCGCAGTTTAGGGGCATATTCTAAAACAGCTTAAAAATATGCACAACAAATATATATTTCTAAACATTATACCCCCTTGAATTTACATATTTTTTACTGAAGACACCTGTAAATGAGCAGTATTCTTTTAAATTTTTACATAAAAATTTTAATTACTGGCCAATGGGATACTAAATACCATTATTTCGGGGCGGGGGGGGCAAAAAAAACTGGGAAGGGTTTTGTACAGACCAATCACTTAGGTTTTCTACCATGCCTACTTTCAAGAGCCCGCTTAAACTTATTCACATGAAAAAGCACTTGAATTGTTGTCGAACACATTCAAATAAATGAATATTTAAATCTATCAATTGATCTTAAATGTACCATTCTCAAGAAACAGAAAGCATTAATCTTACCTTGAATAGCCATTAGAAAAAACCGATCGACCGGAGAAGTTCAAAGTCCCTAAGGAAGTCAAGTTATCATCTCCAGATCCTTGGCATCTATTCCAATTTTCTGAACCAACAGGAACTGGTGGAATGACATTAAAAATAGGTTTCTGATCCTGCTGTTGAGAAAGGGATGCTGTATTCATGTCATAGTGGTACATCTGTCCCCCAGAGGTACTCACACCATGAACAGAAATGGCAGACATTTTATTACCAATTATATTTGCTCCAGAAAAGCTGGCCTGACAATAAACTGGGCCCAGTTTCTCCTGCTTAATTACTCCAGGGGTGCAGAGTTCGATAAAATCTTCCTTTTCTGTTTTCACTTGGGGCAGTGGCACACTGTTAGGGCTTGATAAGATCAGATCTCCATTATCCTTAATTTTAGGTTTAGTGTCCGGTAAAAGAAGAGGCTTACAGTCCTCTTTTGAGTTTCCTTCCAGAAGGAATGGATCATCCTCTCCTGCCAAAGGAGAAAGCAAACAGTTTTCATCTATCAAGAGGTCTGAGCTCCAAGGGCTCTCACTTGTCTCTTTACCTGGGGACCCAGAAGAAAACTCCAAATCCTGGAGTTTTTTCCTCCATATGTCAAAGGTGCTTTGGTCTGTGGTATACAACTTCACATTACCCCCATTAGTGCCAGTCTGGCCCTTCAAATTTTGCTGTTCTGATACATCAGAGTGAGTTTTTGGAAACTCCTTCTCTGTGGGGGCAGCAGAGGCAGCAGCTGATGCTGAATTCTTGGGGTTCTCTGGAACACTGGTCGACCTATTGAGGTTTGCGATGCTTTCTTCCAGAAGCCGAAAGTCTGTTTCCCCAGAGGAAAGGCTCATTTGGCCCTGCTGTGGGAATCCCAGGTCATTTCCCATTACTTTTGTCTCTGTCTCTCCCATATACAGTCCCATTGAGAGTGAAACTGCCTTGGACAGATCTGGCTGCTGCGCATTGCTTCCGGAGCCTTTTGGAAAATCAACCAAAAGTCTTTGCTGCTTGGAGTCTGCCTGAGAAGCAGCAGCCAGTGAGGGTGAAGATGCAGAAACCTTCACAGTAGCTCCTCCCCTTAGGGTTTTATAGAAGTCCATCACACTTCCCCTCTCTCGACCAAGCACACTGCTGGGGATTTCTTCTCTACTGGGGGGGCTTAATGATTCCTTGGGGTCCATCAGTGAATATCAGCTACAAAAAAAAGAGAGGGGGTCATAATAAGCTATAAAATCACATTATCTCTGTGATCCGATTAGTAAGAGCCTGTTAAATGAACCTTTTAGTTAATTCCGAATCTAATTCCTTGTTATCAGAAGAGTAGATTCTGACTTCCATAATATAAAAGCCGTGTCTCCTGCTCGAATACAGTGTGCCACATTTAAAAGTACAATGCAGTCCATTTGCCCAGCTGAGAACAAAACTGTATCAAACTAAGCTTGGCTATTCATCCTGCCACTCACAAATTGGTAGCTTTGTTAATCATAGACATTATAATTCATTACATCTGATTATTCTGAAGGTTCAAGTTGATGTCAAAGTATTTAATTAAAAAAAAGGAAGTATGATCATTGAAATTCCTACCTCTTTTCAACCAGTCAAGGCTGTTGGCTTTTCTGAGAACTAATAAACATAAAATCTGATAAACACTATGCTAGAATTCTCTAATTACTCCCAATTCCTCTCCTACCAGCTGGTCACACATCCAAACCTTTTAGTACAACCTACTGGTGAACCATGCATTTTACTTGGAAGATAAACAACGATGGTCTGCTCATCTTCCAATAGGGTAGGAAAAGGCTCCTATTTTTAATCGATATTTCTTACTGAATGTGCCTAATAGTGCCTGCTTTCAAATTCTGGACATATGAAATGAAACACACTGTATACAGGCTAACTAAAATTTAGATTTAAAAAGGAATGTGTAGTAGCTTCTCATTACAATTTTTTAAATACGGTATAAGAAATATAGCTCTCTCAAACGCTCACAACACAATAAAATCTAGATGAAGCTACATTTTGTTTTACAACTGCTTAAGACCCTCAGTATGAAATACTATTATGTCTCTAAATTAAGATTTTTCCTTTCCAAATATCGAAGTATTGAAAAACAAAGGGAAAAAAAAAAAAACAACCCCAGAACTGTAAAATCACATTCATATAAATCCAAGTAAAATAATACAATGCTCAGAATAATCCTCCCTGCATTCTAAACCTTCACCTATCCTAATTCTGAGCCTACTCTCAAGACGGTTAGGTTGCTAGAAGATTGCTGACAATCAAGATGTTTTAAGAGGCGGGTAGAGACTTTGATAAGCATATTTGCGACAGTATAGTCAAATCCTGTCCAATGAAAGGAAACTTTTCCCGTACAGAGACTTTAAGAAGCATAAACTTCACTGGCCCTCGCTTAAAGTGGAGCGTGATGAAGGTAGACAGAGAGGTGGGGACGTGCCACTACAAATCTTGAGGGTAAACTGCTTATCTCCCCGCCCCTCCGCCGTGTTTAGCTGATAACGATCTCTAAACACAAGGTATCAAATGGAGCCTAATGAATTTCCACGCCACTCTGACAGCTGCCTTCAAACTCGAAACCAAAACAATACTTCATAAAACAAAACGATCCCTCAAACGATTTTATCCCCCCGTTTAAATTGCAAATAACCCTGTCACAGTAATTGGCTTTAATGAGCCATGCCAAGGGGTCTTAAGCGGCATTACAAGGCTGCAATTACCAAGTCTGCAACCTCAAAACGTCCGACTGGCGCTTGTCAAAAATCGCACCACGAAACTATTATGGTTAGGGAGGGTCTTCTTCTAAAAGGGCCCACTTCAAAACGTCAGGAGCGAAGTGATGCCAAGCGCTAAAGAACAAACCCTCGCGGGGCACGGGGTGGGGGGGGAGGTAGAGAAAAGCGCGAGGTTAAAAGAGAAATGTGTCCAGACCTGTTGAGTTCATTCTCCGACACGCCCACTTCTACCAGATAACACCGACCCTGGCCGAAGTCTCCGAGTAGCAGGCTGTCAGCCCCCTGCGTGTGTACACGCGCGCACACACACATACTCACATACAGCCCTGCGCGCCCGCCAGAAAGGAGACGCGCTGGAGCCTCGACACAAACCCTGCTCGCGCTCGGGCGCTCTAGGGTGGAGCGGACAGAGTCGGGCGAGCAGGATTCAGACGCAGCTCAGCGTTCACCAAAAAAATGGGTGTCTGGGAGGGAAAAGAAAAGGGACTTGGGGAAGAAGGAAAATAAAAAAGACCAGGATTCCTCACCAGCGAACGAGAGCCTGGAAACCCGGACGGCTCGACGAAGCTCCACTCGCAGAGAGCTCGGGTTCCTCCCCCTCGGCCAGGGGACGGCGGTCCAGGGAGAGGAAGAGGCCAGCACTGTCACCCGCGCGCTGCCCTGTCGTCACCGTCCCCCGGCCCTCGCCAGCTCCCACCCCCACTACCCGAAGCTAATAAAACTTCGCAGGCTCCCGCGGCGCCCCCGAGCCGGCCTCCCGGCCCCGGCCCGCACCTCGGGGAGCGAGCGCCCGTGGGGGCCCAGCCCCCGGCCCTCCCCTCCCCTTACCTCTGCCGGCGGCGCCACTCACCCCACACCGTCCACCGCTCCCACCGCAGCCGAGATAAACAACTTAGCGTGTGAAAGCAGGAGGAGCGGGAGAGATTTTTTTTCTCTCTAAAAAAAGGAAGTAAACAGCCGCCCCCTTCTCCATGGGGGGAGGGGAGAGCCCCTATTTGAGAAAGTCTCCCATTTCCCGGCTGACAAGCCAGCTCCCCGCCCCGCGCCCGTCTCCGCGGGCCGGGGCTCTCGGGCGCGCGTCCTCCGTGCCGGCGCCCCGCCGCGCCCGCCGCTCCGGCTGCGGCGTTTCTTTCCACCCACTAGAATCCGTCCCCGACGGGCGGGCGGTGACTGGGGCTCCCGTCAGACTCGAGCTCGCAAAATGGAGGAGGAGGAGGAGGAGGAGGGGAGGCAGCGCGGACAAGCGAAAGGGCCGCCCGGCCGCTGCAGACGAGCGGGACCGAGCGGGGGGCGGGCGGAGGCGGCGCCGCGGCGCGCACACACTCGCACACACACGCGCTCGCACCCCACCCCCGGCCGCTCCCCGCCCGAGGGGCAGCGCGGCGGCGCGGGGAACGGTGCAACCTGTTGGCGACGCTAGGCAACTGCAGGGGCGGCCGCGGCCCCCGCCCCCACGCCCTCCGCGCGGGCCCCGCCACCCCGGCCGCGACGGCGCCTGCCCGCCCGCGGCCCCCCGGCACGGCCCCCGCCGAGGCTGCTTCCCGGGCGCTCGAGGCTTCTCCTCGACCCCCACCCCTCACCCCCCAGGAAAAAGGAGAGGAGGCGGCGGCGGGGGCCGACCTGGTCTTTCTGGGGCGGGCTTCGGAGGGAAGCCGAGTTTCTCTAGTTTCTCTTCTCGCTGCTCCTTCCCGCCCCAGCCCAGCTCCGCGACTCCCGACCCACTCCGGAGCTCGCCCGGTCCCTCGGCAGCAACCGTCAGCGCCCCTGCGGCTGACAGCGGGCTGGTTGGGGGAGCCGGGGCGCGGCCCGCAGCGGAGCCGCGAGGGTGGTCCGCGCCGCCGACCCCGGGCCGAGTTGAGCGAAGTGTGTCACTTCGCACGAGGCTACAGGGTTGCACGGAAACGGTGCAGCGGCGTCTCGGCCCCTCGTAGGGCCGGACGGCCAGACACGCCCTCTGGGGAGGCTTCAGGGAGGGGAGGGCAGGGAAGGGGGTCGGCGCATACATACTCTGGGCCGGGGGGGGAGTCGCGTGCCGGCGGGTCCCCACCCACGCATCATCTGGGCGGCCCACTCTGCAGCCGCCGCCGCGTGCTCGCACCGGGAGAGAAGTTGCAAAGCAGAACCCACCCTCCCCTGCGCCCCGACTGTCCCCCCCCCTCTTCTCCGAGCCTGCGAGGCGGCGGCGGCGGCGGCGGCGGCGGCGGCGGCGGCAGAAGGAGGCACCGCCTGCCAAGTTCAACCCCCATCCCTCCCTCCCTCCTAGCGCGCTCACACTTGAAGGAAGTTGCATGCCAAATGCAAAACCTCCAGCGAACTGGATTTCTTTGCATTTTTAAATTATTATTTTTAAGGAAAGCGGGAGGTGGCAGGCTTAAAAGCAAGTTGAAAGCGAAACAGTAAGTTGCTTGCACAGTACGCCCTCCTTTCCCCCACCCCAACTCCTGACCTCTTCTTCCACCCCCTTCGGGGCCCACGTCCAAGTTTCCCGCGGAGGCCCCTCCCCCGAATCTTGACATTTGCTGCACTCGCCTCAATGCGTCGCCCACCCCTTCGTGTTCGTGGGACCCCCATCCCTCCAAATAAAACAACACACGCAGTTTTAAAATGTCAGCATTAAACTCCTTCCAGCTCTTCCCGTTACGCGCCTCCCCCTCTGTCCGAGGGAAACATGTGGCCTGTCCTCAGCGAAAGGGGAGTGGGGCGAGAGGAGTCCGCGCCGGAGGCCCCCACCCCAGCCCCCTTCCCCAGCTCGCCGCGTCCGGAGGGCTTGGGTGACGCCGGGATCGAGCCACCTACCTTGGGCGGCGCATATTATGATTTGTGTGACTCGGAGAAAGGTTGTGCTGTGTTGCTTTAGGGGTTGGGGAGGTAACTTTTGCGACCCCACAGGTGACAGCGCTTGCCAGCTGCAGCCGGGGGCGGAGGCTGCCGCAGCTCCACCTAGCCCTGCTCGGGCGCCCGGCCGCGCTCAGACTGGCGGCGGCTGCTGTGCCCTGACATCTTGCAGAGGATTTGGGGGGAGTGCGTGCCGGAAGCCGCCTGCCGCCATCTTGGTAAAGGCAGCTGACACCGCCCGGCCGCGCGTGCACCATCTTGGCCAAGGTTCTCTCTAGCGGGCAGCCTAGGTTGCCCTTTCTCAGTTCTGGGGGTGTGGGCGCTGCCCCGTGTGTCGTTCGAGATGACGGGAGAGAACTAGGCTATTAGCGAGCCGCCCGCGCGGAGGCGATCTGCGCGGGCCGCCTCCACATGATGCCAGGGCCGCCATCTTGGCAAAGGAAGATACGCTCACAGCCTCGGAAGAGAGAAGGGAACCAAGACCTTTGCCAACCCTCAGCCAACCCTGGCTGGTAGAACCCTCAGCCAGGAGAATTTTTATGAAGAGCGCCGAGCAACCCAGTTGTTAACAAAACCCCTCTGGATACAGACGAGATGACTCCTCTTTTCTTTCCCTTGGTTCAAGTCAACTGGAGGGAGGCCCCTGTCTTGGGTGCTCATAGTGGATAGTAAATGAGAATTGACTCGAGAACGCTACTTTGCCTACTTGCCAGGTGTCCTACCTTCTGAGTCTCAGATACTAGAATCAGATGTCTTTACTGCACTGGGTCCCCAAACAACCAACAGCTTCATGAAAAAAAAATCAAGACTCAAACCTACAATACATAATATGTTATGCATGTTTTAAAAATGAGTTAAATAACGTACTGAAATGATCATCCTTGTACATCTGCTTAGAAGTTAAGTAGCAACTATTTATATATGTAGTATATTATATATAATAATTTGTACATATATATGTAAAGGGACCATTACAGATACCTAATCAAGTACCTCTTCCCATACCATAAACCTATTTCATAGTTGAATCTGTGCTCTAAAAAAAATCCACCTCATCTCTCTTAACCTGTTCACATTGTAGGTGGTAGATACCCTGCTTTTAAACAACATCTGCTTTTATAAGAGTTCCCAATTAACTTTCTCCCCACTCATTTTTTCCTGCAGGTCCAGTGGATGACTTTAAAATGGGAGAGGACACATCATTTCAAATTAAAAATCGCCCTTGAAAACACTTTGAATGGAGCAAAAGTGTGGAATTTTCCTGATTTTTTCTTTTCAGTGGTCTAAATATGCCTGTTAATTTTTTAGTTTGATAGAAAAAACTCGCATTCTTCAGTCTTGCATGTTCATTTGAAAGCATGCACAAACTGTAGATTAGCCCAGTGTTTGCTTTTCAGAGTTAGAATTGTGCTTTATGGCTAACATTTATTGATTAACCCAACAGACACATACACACACGTCTGTTGCCCACTTCTGCTGACAAGAGCTGAATAGATAGGTATTACTCTAATTTTTCAACATGAGGAAGCTGAGGCTTACAGAGCTTGAGGTGTATCCAAGATCACACAGCTAAACATGGAGGATAGAAATAGACAATATTACAGAGATTTTTCTTCACTGATCTCGTAACTTCCATGAAAGAGTATGTAAATTCCATGATAGGCTTGCAATAAGTGTGTATGGAATTTAATTCAAGAAATGAAATCCAGTGTACTGGAAAAGACATGAGATTAAGCATTGTAATAATAACAGCAATTCTAACAGTAGTTAATATTTATTGAACGTCTATCTGCCAGGCACCATTAAAAGTGTTTTATATATACTATCTTAAATCTGTAGATATGAAAATGACTAATCTGTAACCCTGGGAAGATATAATTACTACAGGAGAAGAAATAGGATGAACCCCCATCTGAGGGGGAATATATTTGATTGTCTCAGAAGCAAAGGTGAGAATGAAGGTAATATATCCAAACTCCATCAAGGCAAGAACCTTTTCTGTCTTGTTCATTGCTATATGTCCCACTCCTACAACAGAGACCAGTACGTAGTTATATTAAAACGTTCAGTCAACTAGTCATAATATCACTTTTACTGAATTGTTGTGGAGGCCAAATGAGTTAATGAAATGTGTACAGGTAGTACTCAAGATCCTCATTTTAACTGTCTTATGTTTAAACACCTGAGTACTCCTTCCTAAAACAAAGACCTATTACGGTTTGTTCCTATACTGTCCTGTACTTTGGTAGCACATTAGAGTGATAGTTTGTTATTTCTGGATTCATTTGTTAAATTTCTGTGTCCTCCACTAGAATATAAAAGCCCTGTGGTGGCAGAGCCTGTGTCTGTCTTTTTCATCGCTATATCACTAGCGCATAGTAGGTGCCCAGTGGATATTTGTTAAATGAATGAGTGAATGAAGGAAGGAAGGAAGGAATGGAAAGGGTCTGAGACTGTATCCTAAG